TTCCATTGGCGTAGAATTTTTAAAGGTACAATTATTTAAAAAATCAAGTTTTACGCCTATGTATTATTATCGGACAATAAAAAGTTCACTGGTTTATTCGGTCGTTTTTATTGTTTTTATAAAATTTAAATACATGCACTACATATGTTTCGGAAACACTGTTCCATCTTCTGGTACGATTTCTTCTGCCTCACCAATAATCGCAGTTATGTCTGTCTGTTTAACATTCATCAATATTTTATCAAATTCATCACAGTTCATATGAGGTCAATTCGGGGAAGTGCATACCTTCAATTTCAAAGTTGACTTTAAAGTGAAGATCAAAACTAGAGATCATCGTACTATATAGTTTTTTAAGCATACTAATATTTTTACAAGTAATGATAATCCGAAAGTATTTTTACCTGAAAATTTTGATTTATTACAAAAAAAAATAAATTGGTCGCAATCTCACAGAAATGCACTTACCCCAGTTTATGGGGCAAGTGTATTTCAGACTTTTTTCTTTCTATTTAGATATGCTTATGAAGATTATCCGAGGCAAGATCAAATAATATGTAAAATTTTGAATCGGTCAGTTTTTGCAGAACTTAATTATCTGTAATATTCAGAAAGATATAGTCAAATTAATATTTTGTTTTTAAATCTTAAGATTTTATTAGAAAAATTATTCAACATACACTTTAAGAAAACATTTAGAATACAAAATAACTGTTATACAAACTTTGGTAGATACTTTTAACCTAACAAATATTTATTCTACGACTGGCACAGGGTCATTAAATACATAGCGGCCTTTAGAATCCATCTCAAAGTCCGGTACATCTGTATATATAATCTCATGCATTGGGACGGTGTTTGATCAGTCTTATGGAACTTGAAAGTCTTCTTCTCTTTATCTACAGAGCGTAAATATTTAACAAAACACTCTTCTGAAACATATATTTCTTTGATTGCTCCTAGGTACATTTTCACAGTTTTTTTTTTTTTGTAGATTCATACTTGACTAGAACGAAATCCCCTGGTTTTCTTAACACAACCGAAGCTTCAGAAGGATCTTCTTTATTATTGGAGTTAGGAACTTGATCAACTGTTTCAAACGAACAAATACCAGTTTCTGTAACTTCCAAAGTTATTAATTCGTTTGGATTTAAGAATGGAACCAGATTATTTTCGGGATCACTAATTTCCAATTCTGTCTCGAGATGGATTGGTAGGTCGTCTATTTCAAACTCTGTTTCAGTAGGTATTTCTTCTCCAAAATATTCACCAGATTCATCAATGCACATAATAAATGGCAGTTCTTCCTCATCAGAGGATGATGACAATTCAAACTTTGATTTTTTCTTTTGATTCTCTTTTGTCTTCTTTGGTTTTTTATTCTTGGCTTTCTGTTCCTTTTTTGGTTTTTGTTCGTTTTCTTTGTTTTCTTTCATAGCTTTATTTTGCTTTTCAGCGTCCTCCTTGTCTTTTAAAATTTTCATACACTCCTGAGATGTGATGACTTTTGACCCTAAACAAACTTTGGTTTTCTTAGCTGGCGGACCTCTATGATTATGGGACGAAATAGTTGTAGTTGCAATTTTTCGAAAGTATTGAGAGAGTTCTGCACCTGCTCTAGGTTGCTTCCCGATGAGGTAGCGTCATGAATTTCGACGGCTTTAACCTGGTCATTTTGTCTTTTTCAAAACCTGCAACCCTATTAGTTTTAGATGGTAAGAGATGATTAATTTCGGATGCTCCAACTTTGTCCATTTCGGGTGCTACAACTTGGTCCAGTTCGGGTGCTGCCATTTGATCAGTTTCGAGCTGCAATGATTTCCATCGTTCCAAAAATAAATGGTTAAAATTTTCTTCAGGAATGATATATTTATTAAGAAGGTCCTTTCGCCACACCTCTCGCCTTAAATGTTAAAAAAAAAGGTATTAGATTATGACTAAAATTAATTTTTTTTCTAATAGTTGAAGTCCTTATTTATCTAATACTGAACTTTTAACTATACCTTACCTTGCAAATTTTTGAGAATTTTTTTTTTTTAAATGTGAGTATTTGTACAGTGCCTCACGAGAAAGTAAGTCCTCAACAACAATTCTCGAATTATACTATTATTTATTGATTAGATGGAGTAGAAAAAAACTAAAAATAAGGTTTTTGAAATATTTAGATTTTGTTTTATACAATAAAATATATATAGTAAACCGTGGAACTTATTAAGAAATTAATATTAAAAAATCACAAAAAAATTTCAAGTAACCTAGTTGAAAATTTTTTGTGATTTTTTAATAATAATTTCTCAATAAATTCCACGGTAACCTATATATTTTATTGTAAAAACCAAAACCTAAATATTTCAAAAACCTTATTTTTAGTTTTTTTCTACTCCATCTAATTAATAAATAATAGTAAAATTAATTATAATTCGAAAATTGTTGTTGAAGTCTTACTTTCTCATAAGACACTGTACAAACACACACATTTAAAAAAAAATCTCAAAAATTTGCACGGTAAGGTATAGTTAAAAGTTCACTATTAGATAAATAAGGACATCTACTATTAGAAAACAATTAATTTTAGTCATAATCTAATATTTTTTATTTAACATTGGTGGCGAAAGGACCTCCTTAACCGGAAAGACGCCAGCTTTCCTGAATCCATTTTTAATAATGTTCGTATCGAAGTTTTTCCATAGTTCTCCTATTTTTATCATCATTGATCGTTTAGAAATTTTCTGACAGCCTTGTTGTCTCAACCTTTTGCAGAGATACTCATCCCACGATGATTTAATGGACTTGAAAACTGTCAGATCATGGGGTTGAAGTAAATGGCTTGAATGAGAAGGCAGTAAAATAATTGTCACATTGTTTTTCACAGTCAATTCCACTAATTTTAAACCAATGTGGCCGTCGTAGATAAGAAGAACGGGATAACTAGAAAACTGCTTTGCTGCTTTTACAAAGGAATGTTCAAAATAATTCAGGAATACAGAAGACTCCATCCAGCCATTTTGAGAAGCGGCAAATGTTGAATCGGAAAATCCTTTATTTTCGTTAGGAACCCGTTGGTTCCAAACGTGTTTTCCTTTGAAAATAAACAATGGAGGACACTTGTCTCCAGTTGCACTACAGGCCAGTAGGACAGTGGTGTTTTCTCTGCCAGGGCCACTAACAGTTCTTGTAGAAGGCAGTCCTTTTCCTCCTACTATTTTAGTTTTAGACGGATTGTGACTAAATGCCGATTCATTAAGGTTCCAAACATTTTTTGATTCAATATTGAGTTCTTCCAAAGTTAGTTCGAGTTGGTTAAAATAATTGAATATGACAAAAGGATCTTGAGCTTTTTTTCGGGCAACTTACACATTTTGCAGCTTCTTAATGTCTTTTTTTAAAACCTGATCACCACTCTTCTCCAGGAAAGTTATTCTTGAACGGGTTTGGGATCTTTTCTTTAATTATGTAATCGTTCACCAGTTGTAAAATATTTTTCTTTGACAAGCCGTAGCCGTATTTTTCCATTAGTTTAATGAGTCTACCCAATTGATCTTCAGTTTCTGAAGATAAAGCTGTCGGTCTCCCAAATGTTTTTGACTTCACATACCTTATGTTTTTAACATGGTCAGTTATGGTAGATTTTGGAATAGAATATCTTTCTGAAGCCTCTTTCAATGTCATTCTTTTAGATTTTACGCCATCAACTGCATTTTTGAGGTCTTGAGGGGTATAACTTTGGCCTTTATTCGTTTTTCTTTCGTAATTTCGCACCATTTTGGCTCTAAAATTCAAAACAAAAGCATTCATTAAATAATTTAAAAAAAGCGCCAAAATTAGACAAAGGTGGAAGTGCATACGCGTCTGCACTTTCCCCATGGTGTAAAAACGCACTTGCCTCTTAACCTATTTTGGAGGGGAAAGAGCATAATTGCTAATTTTATGTCTAATATGATTAAACATTGTGAAAACAATATCAAAAATTAAAAACACGATTTAAAATTAAGCTGCTTACCATATTTTGAAAAACAAAAATTCACTTTAGAATGAAAAAAAAGTATAAAGCCGGCTACTCACTACGAGTTACTTGCCGAGTTACTTGACTTGGACTGAACTTGGCAAGTACTTGTTCGAGTACAAGTAAATCGTCTACATTACGCGCGCGCACAACGTGGGTAGCGAAACACTTCGGTCCGTTTACCGACAACCAACGGGAAGTACAAGTAACTTGCTGAGTCTATACAAGTCTCCATACACATTACATGGTACTTGCAAATACTTGGCAAGTAACGCGTAGTGAGTAGCCGGCTTAAGAAACGGAGCACTACATGTTTAGAATTTAAGAGATCTAATTGAGACTGTTTTGACAGATGCACAAAGCTTGGTCACGTGAGACGCAGTGTAGCCAAACTAATTATCACACTAAAAGAAAGTATCCAAGGAACACACAAAAATAGCCACTGCTGCATAAAATGGACCGTTATTATTATCAAAGCAGGAAGGGCTTTGAACCACGCCCTAATTTAGATAGATCAGAGCAGGAAAATGCACTTCCCCGAATACGCCCTTCTCCGAGTTGACCTTGATTGAAATGAAAATAATTTTTGCAAAATAATTTTCGAAAGGATGGGCGTTGGATTCACATTATTTTCTGCCTTGTTGTCTTATGTGTTGCCAATAAAAATTTCATTACAATCTGTAGTTAATCTTCAAGTTTTAATGTACTGGTAACCTAATTTGCAAAGTTTTTCCCATAATTTTAGTAAACTGTTTATTTTTATTATCCAACATTTGTTAAATTGTTGTTAGTAATATCTTGGTCATCTATATCAAATATTTTTAAGTATTGCACTTTCACTTAACATCAGCTCACGGACTAAACACAACTTAAACTGACTTTGACAGATAACAAGATTTTGAATGATATACAACTTAATCTCGCACAAGGGCGTACCAAAACGGTACACTGTTGATGATATTGTTATTTATAAACATTAGGTACCTATTAATTTTAGGTGCAATGGTGCCAGGCCTCATTTCAAGAGGCGCAAAGGAACGCGAACAATTGCAGAAGGAATTTGGTGAACGTCAACATCAACAACACGCTGGCCGCCTCCTTCAGGCACCGCCAAAGGCAGGCGGTGGTTCCCCCGCCTCCTCGAAAGAGCACCAACAATTCAATATGCTCTCTGCCATCCACGCCAGATGCAGATGATACTTTCTTGGATTTCGAAGGTAATTTAAAACTATTTAGAAAATTGTTTTTCGCTTCGATTTAACTTTTTATAATGTAATATGTTATCCTTCGAAATAAAAATGGAGTGGACTGTACTGATAAATTTTTAAACTATACCAATACATGTCAAAAAAAAAAGAAAACGATATTAATAGAAACCTACCATGTTTAATAGTACACTCCTTATAAAATTTTAGATTCAAAATTGCTGATTTAATATTTGTATCTAATTAACAAATCAATGACTTTGGACTATTAGTATTATATACATTTTTGTAATAGTATATACATATATATTATTGGGGAAATCAAATATGAAGAGAAAAATATGTTGTTCTTTTTTAAAAAAAATTGTTGATGTCATGTCAAAACTGATGACGTTATTATTAGGTACATCCAATCATAGCGTAATACGCGTAGTTGAAAATAAAAATTGACCTGTGAAAGCATTTTGTTAAAATATTGTTAGTCAGAAAAATATCGAATTTATTTCAACTTATTATATGTCCTCACTGTAATGTTGTATGTTATCTTAAGTTTGATAAAAGAATTGACCTGTACTATTAATAGCACAGGCAACTTGGCAAAACTTTTGAAACGAATTAATTTTGTAACATCCGATATGGTCTAGTGGCTAGGATACCTGGCTTTCACCCAGGAGGCTCGGGTTCGATTCCCGGTATCGGAAGTTTTTTATTGTCATTTATTTATATATTAATTAGTGTAAATATAAAATATGTATTGACATATCAAGAGTGGTCTTTTGTTGTAATATAAATTTTATTTTTATTTCAATTAGTAAGATAACGGTTAAGTAAATTTTTCTAAACATGGTTTTTTATTCTGAGGTTAAATTTTATATAATCTTTGGAATGTAAAATTATTCAATATGTAATATATAATATAATTAATTTGTCAATATAATCAGTTAAAAGGTTTATTAAATAATGTGACCAAGATCTTATAGACCTAAGAGTCCCATTAGTTAATTGACCCTTTCAGTATTGATTATGAAAACGGACCTTAATAAAATTTGCATTTTTGGAATTTCATAATATACATTGTTAAAACTGTAAAATCTCGGAAATGGAAAAAACTAAGCCTCATTTATGTGATAAATTGCGAGAGGAATAATTATTATTTTAAACTTTCATAAAATATAGGGTGTTCAAAAAGTTTGCATCAAAATTGTTTGCATAGCCCTTGATTCTACGCCAATGAGTTATCGTAATTTATCGAAATAAAATGTATTAATTAATTAGAATGAAAATATATAACACAAAGCACATAGAGGTTCCACGTGAAAAACCGACAAATGACATTTCTTATGCTATTGACTCCAAACCCTAGATGGGGCTACTGGCGAAATTATGATTTCTTCCTCCATTTTAATTTTTTATGGGTGAACAACTTAACCAAAGAATCCAAAGATATGACGTGTATTTATGTTTTTAATTATTCTCAGTTTTTCGTTTGATTTTAATGATTTTTTGTTGGCTTTGGCTTTTGGTTTCTGTTTATAGTTTCTTCTTAGTTGTTTGCAAAATTGTGATGTTTTGTTTTTTTATTTCCTGCTGTGTTTTGCAATAATTTTAGTGCTACGTTGAAAACTTTGAGAAAAACTTCACTGATTTACTATGCATCATAAAAAAGACAAACAAGTACAACAACTAATTGATACTCAAGTTATCACTGGACTAGATTACGAAATTATTTTTCACATAAGAGAGTATACCACCATCCGTATTTGGAAGGAAAATATTTATCATTGAATGAATAGTTAAAAGGATTTACCTTTTACTCCAATACCTATATTACATTTTCGGTTAAAAGACATTTATAAAATATATTACTTTAGTGTTAATAACATGTAATATCCTAGTCTCTACTTCACATTTAAATATATTGATATTTTAAACATTTGAGATTGTATACCTATTTGCTCCAAGTAAGTATTCGTTAAATATGTATTATTATTATTTGTATAGATTTTTTTCTAATAATATTTATTTAAGTTATTAATAAACATATTTTAATAATGTTCTATTTTATTATTTATTGATATAGTTTATATTTATTTAATAATAATATGCAGAACCAACTCCACATTAGAGCCGTTATAAAAAATTAACTCCTCAAATTTGGCATAATCGACCTAAATTATTTTGTAAAATAAAAATTTCGAACTTACTAGTTGGCTCTTAAATGTCAAATTATTTAAAAATGTATACTTCTTTTGATAATTATTGCAAATAATAGATATTTATGGAAAGCCTGAATTCCATAAATAAAAGTAAAGCAAGACAGATAATATAATGTTCTTATACAAAGCACTTTTTTATTATATAAGAGAGAGGTAGGATATAATGCCTATTTCAAATTTGAATCATTTATGATACCAAGGTATTTTGTTGTGTTTTTCATTTTAATTATAAAGTTGTCATTTATTTGTATGTTGAAAGAAGGTTTTTGTAAATTACATTGCTCTCTATGGATCTACTTTAACACAAAAATAGTAAAACAAAGTACATGATCTCAAAACAAATAATCTATAATAAATGTGGATAAAACGAGGGGTAAAATAACAATAAATTAAGGAAATACTTGAAAAAGGCAGGTTTAAAGAATATTATCACAAGAAAGTATATCCGTTCTGTTTATTTATCAAGTATTGTTTGAGGTTACTTTTGAATACATTTATTGTTTTTTTTTTTTTAATTTCTGTAGGCAGTCTATAAAATTTTTTAAACCTTTAATAAAAATTGTAATTTGGGAACTTTTAGTGATGGCTGCCGTACATAAAAGTCAGATTGGTTTCTTATATTATAGTTGTGATATAGAGAATTATATTAAATTTTTTCTAATAGATCTGATGCGATAGTACTGTCATTTTTATTTTATAAATAAATATCACTCATGTACTGAACATAATTCTGAACTGAAAGCCCACTTATTTTTTTTAACATAGTTGCAATACTCGTCCTTCTGTCCTTTATTAATAGAATATAAATAGGGGAAGTAAGAAGCCCAAATATTTTACATGAGCATGCTTAAGAGGTAAAGGGGCCAATTATTATTGGATAAATTGCTTAAACAAGTTTTTAAACCCTAATCAAAAGGCGATATAGAATGATTTTAAAAATCAAGGCGTGTGTAGATCATCACATGGTTTAACCTAATTAATGCCAATGCTTCACAAACCAAAAAATTCAATGTGCTAATACTACTATCGGCTTTCTATATTTCGTTCCAAGTTAAATCATTTCTCGTTCTTGTTACGCTACGAGTTTGTCCTTGTCGGCCTCAGTCTCGATAAGGTGGGAACCACAATTTTAGCGTCTCTCGAATTTTCGTCTTGTTAAGCTTCATTTTTGGTAAAAATTATTTTTTCATTTTTCAGTTAGGATTTTTTTTACATTTCAACCCCTCATTTTAATTCACATTTTTTTCAGAATCGGTGGAATTTATTTTCTTATAGAGTTTGATTTTTACTCAAAATTTCATGTAGATATTGCTTTTCGTTTTTGATTTAAGATTTTTAATATTTCAATCGCCCCGAATCCCCGTCTTTATTTAGATTTTTTTAGAATCAATAAGCTTTATCTCCTTGTAGAGCAGGATTTTTAATCAAAATTTCATATTGATATCGCTTTTCATTTTTGATTTACAATTTTTTGTTATTTCAACCCTCCTTACCCCTTTATTTTTAATCAGATTGTTTCAAAATCAATAGGCTTCATTATCTCATAGAGCTCGATTTTTACTAAACATTTCATGTCAATATCTATTACTTTCCTATCTGTATACATAAGGAAAGTATAGGAATCATGATTTTTTCGACCTCGAGTTTTCGACAGATTTTTACGTTTTGAGGTCCCCTGAATCCGTTTTGACTATTTTCGCGATGTGTGTGTGTGTGTGTGTGTGTGTGTGTGTGTGTGTGTGTGTGTGTGTGTGTGTGTGTGTGTGTGTGTGTGTGTGTGTGTGTGTGTGTGTGTGTGTGTGTGTGTGTGTGTGTGTGTGTGTGTGTGTGTGTGTGTGTGTGTGTGTGTGTGTGTGTGTGTGTGTGTGTGTGTGTGTGTGTGTGTGTGTGTGTGTGTGTGTGTGTGTGTGTGTGTGTGTGTGTGTGTGTGTGTGTGTGTGTGTGTGTGTGTGTGTGTGTGTGTGTGTGTGTGTGTGTGTGTGTGTGTGTGTGTGTGTGTGTGTGTGTGTGTGTGTGTGTGTGTGTGTGTGTGTGTGTGTGTGTGTGTGTGTGTGTGTGTGTGTGTGTGTGTGTGTGTGTGTGTGTGTGTGTGTGTGTGTGTGTGTGTGTGTGTGTGTGTGTGTGTGTGTGTGTGTGTGTGTGTGTGTGTGTGTGTGTGTGTGTGTGTGTGTGTGTGTGTGTGTGTGTGTGTGTGTGTGTGTGTGTGTGTGTGTGTGTGTGTGTGTGTGTGTGTGTGTGTGTGTGTGTGTGTGTGTGTGTGTGTGTGTGTGTGTGTGTGTGTGTGTGTGTGTGTGTGTGTGTGTGTGTGTGTGTGTGTGTGTGTGTGTGTGTGTGTGTGTGTGTGTGTGTGTGTGTGTGTGTGTGTGTGTGTGTGTGTGTGTGTGTGTGTGTGTGTGTGTGTGTGTGTGTGTGTGTGTGTGTGTGTGTGTGTGTGTGTGTGTGTGTGTGTGTGTGTGTGTGTGTGTGTGTGTGTGTGTGTGTGTGTGTGTGTGTGTGTGTGTGTGTGTGTGTGTGTGTGTGTGTGTGTGTGTGTGTGTGTGTGTGTGTGTGTGTGTGTGTGTGTGTGTGTGTGTGTGTGCGCGCGCGTGTGCACGTGTGCGCGTGCGTGTGCGTGTGTGTGTGTGTGTGTGTGTGTGTGTGTGTGTGTGTGTGTGTGTGTGTGTGTGTGTGTGTGTGTCGCATAACTCATGAACCGATACACAGAAAAACACCAAATTTTAAATTTAAGCTTTGTTTCAGCGTCCAATGAGCTGATTAGATTTTGGGCAGAGTCGGAACATCTGGGGGGTACTTTAT